TATATGGCGCCGAGAAATTTTGGTGAAATGTGGTCGCATTTCACCAAAATTTTTTCGGCGCCATAGGATGAATTGGAGGGTGAGAGATATTATTTCATACAATACTACTCTCACCCTCCAATTCCCAGCCAAAATGGCTAAAAATTGCCCGCAATGTGAACAATTGCGGGCAATTTTTAGCCATTTTGGCTTGGAACTAGAGCCTGCGAGGTACATGGATAGTATCAGTACCTCACAGGCTCTAGTTCTCTATATGGCGCCGAGAAATTTTGGTGAAATGTGGTCGCATTTCACCAAAATTTTTTCGGCGCCATAGGATGAATTGGAGGGTGAGAGATATTATTTCATACAATACTACTCTCACCCTCAATTTTAATTACTTAAACTCATTCTATTTTTTTGACATGTAAATGTCACTTTTACTGAGATCTGACACAATGTCAGATCTCTTTTTTTCGTATATAAGACTTATGCATTCCTGATGATACAACAGTGCCAAGGGATGTTGGATGAAATGGCAGGAAGATTAACGCCAGATGGTGAAGAGATTCTCCGATCAATCACTACAATATTCAAAAATGATATGAAAGAATATGGTAGAATTGATTTGCTTCGGTTTGCTTTCGGCTTTACACCGTTAGCAAGGAAGATCATCAGAGACAAGAAGGGTTTTGGAGGAAAGACAAACTATCCACCTATAATGCAGTTGAAAGATGTGCAAGTCCCAACGATTCCTTCCCTGAGGATCATCAATTGCGAGATCACATTTGAGAAACTCGGCGAAATCCTTGAAGAAGAACGAACAGAACGTGTTGACGAGGTAGCCGAGCATGATGAAGAGATCCAGCAAGCAGAAGAGGAACAAATGCTTAACGACGATCATGCAGCCGAAACAAATGCCGATGGTTCGAGGAATTCCTTGGTCTGGGATGTTGTAGATGAAGAGATAAAAGATCTATACACATTCATGATAACAATCCTCAGACAAAGAGCAATTGCCGAATCAACAGTTGATCCAACGATCAATAAAGACGATAGAGCCAAGGAATTGAGTGATGCTTCCGATTTCTTCATAGAGCAAGATGATTCCCATCTTATAAATGGTCATCATCTTGCTCAAAATGATGGCAAGTTTTGGTACATGAATGGCATAAAGCAACTAAAAGCAATAAGACCAATTGGAAAAAGGATGATGTCACTTTCGTGCAGTGAAGCAGATGTAGAACGTGTAATATCTGAATTGCGAAAGACAAAAATTCAATGACGATCATGCAAAGAAGATATGTAGCATGCGCTTCTTCATCAAGTTGAATGATGATCAATTTGATATTTGATTTTGTTTTTTTAATAAAATTTATTAAATAATTTGTTTTAAAAAGTATTATTTTTATTCGTAAAGATATTAGACAGAAGGTGGCCAGCCTAATGTCTATCAATCTTTAATATTAGTAGTAATTTCCCGCATTTCTGAATGATGATTGATTAGCTTTGTTGTTATTGATGTAAAACTGGATAAGTATTAAATAATTATTAATCTTGGCCAGGGGACTGCTGATGGCCAGTCAGCAGCGGCCACTCTGAATCATTATAATTATTTAATACCTAAATTGAGGTAAAAAGCAATAAGACTTGCCGAGCCTCAGGCCCCTACCTCATATAAATAGAATCACACTTTAGTGAATCAACATCTATAAGAATGAAGTGTTTTGAAGCTGAAATAATATTGAATAGAAATTAATTTTTTCTGAAATTTTGAATGAAATTATGGGAAATAAAAAAATTACTAAATATTGTATTCATACAAATATATATTTTTAAAGGAAAAATAGATGCTGATAGAAACGATGAAATTTTTGAAAACTTTACAATTAATTTATGTTCGTTAACCACAGAGCTTGCAATCCAAAGCTCACGTTAGAACAACAGAGTCATGAAGTCTCATACTAAGGGATATCCAACATATATTTTAATAATCTAATGTTTGTGACAAATATTCAACATAAAATTAAGTTTTCGTTTCGTTACAAGGCATTCATACTTTGGAGATATCATATTTAATGTACAGAAAAGTTAATATTAAACAATACATGCTAAAGAATTAATAAATAAGATAATAAAATAAATTTATACGTAATTACTTTCATTTAATATGCTTTATGCTGTATAATATTGATTAAGAGGCATTAAAAGGTTCCATAGTCTGCTTTTATAGGCAAGATTTTTGATAAAAATTTTAAATTTTGAAAAATGATGAGAAAAGGAAAAAAGGTAAATGAGAGCAAGAGGAGGAAAAAAAAGAAAAAGAAAAGAAAGGGAAGGGAAAAATAAAAGAAAGAAGGACATATAAAAATTTAGATGCGCATTCTTAATGCCGAGGCGGCTTGCCGCCGAGGCGCGATTTTTTTAGGCCTCTACGGTAACCCGGCAATGTTTTTTTAAATCTTGTACAGCCCTAATGAAGTTAATGAGAAATAAAAATTGAATAAATTATTTTGTCCGATACCATTTTTGAATGTGATTCAAAAATTTGACATGCCTCTCAAAAATTATTCACTCAAAAGCAGAATTGAAAGCATTGAAAATAAATTGAATGTATATGAGATTTTAATTTGCAAGCATAATTTCATCTATAATGTATTTTGCTCAATAATTTTATTCCTTATTCTTCGATAACTTTCAAAATAAATTGAATGAGGCCATTTTTGTTAACTAACTGTAGGTTCAAAAAAAGAAAATATATCAAGAAATAGTAGTATAGATTATTGTATTTCCCGATAAATTTTTGACATGAGTAGTTTAAGATAAAATTGCTCATAAGCATGTATATGTTAGAAGTTATTATATTATCCGAGCATTTTTAATCTCAAAATTCACTCACAAATTAATTTTCTTTTGTGAACAGATGAGATTTTGAAAGAAATGTTTGAGAGATGTTATGTCAATTGATCGGTCTCCCATCAAAATGAATTTTTGTATCGATATTATCCATAATACTATTAAAAAAAAAGAATATGAAATTAAATGGTCAATGATTTTCACATATATGTATTTATATTGAATAATGGTAAGTGCCCATCTTATCATAGCATTTTTGATTTTAAGATATAAACAATAGAAATTGAATTGCATTCAATGTCAATAACTATTCAATTTAAAAATATTAATATGTTTATTTGTATTATTATTAATATTAAAATCCTTAAATTTTATATTTATATAATTTTTCAAAGAAAAATTAGAAATAGCAATCTATATTTATTTATGCAACAAATGCACAAAAAAGTCATATAAAAAAATCTGAATATTCTCAGAAAAGTTGAATGGTTCTGGAAATATCTACTTCTTGTGCTATATGCAATAGAAATAACTCATTTTTTATTCAAAATATTGTTATTTTCGCTTTGTGAAGTTTACAAAAAAATACTCACAAATCTCATCTCATTGAAAAAATCCTCACAATTTTTATAAGCAAAAAATATGATGAATGCAAACTTCATATACCCTATGCAATATACTTACTTCTCACAGAAGCCACCAAGAAAGATGTTTTCTCCTCATGAAGATGTAATTATAGTCACCTTGGCAAACCAGCAAGAAAAGAAAGATTGGAAATATATTGCAAGTCATTTACCTGGTCGAACTCCGCGACAAGTGCGAGAAAGGTTTAGAAATCATCTAAGTCCTGGTCTCGAAAACGGTCCTTGGACAAGAGAGGAAGATGATTTATTAAGAAAATTATTCAAAGAATATGGTTCCAAATGGTCTTTGATATCGAGCTATTTTAAATCAAGATCTGACACAAATGTTAAGAACAGATGGAATTCAATTGCTAAAATGAGTTCAAAAATGAATTCTTTAAAGAAAACAGATGCATCATCCATTAAAAATGTGTCGGTAAAGCAATCGCAGGAGTAGGTGACAAAAGTGCATACTCTTAAACAACCGTCGGATTTCCGGGTGAAATCGTGACACACTTTCGTCTTTCGTAGGCAGTGGTGGTTGTTACAAAAGGTAACTTCGAATGTAGCGTGAAATCTGCAAAAAAAATTCTGAAATTTGAATTGAGAACACAAAAATTGAATAGTTTACGTCAATAAAAAAGAGAAAAATGAAGCCAATGTGTCTCGAACCTAGGACTTAGAGCAGCAATCCCACTGTTTATCAAATTACACTACATGCATCTCTCACTTCAGTGAATGAGATCAACTATATGATAACTTTTTCCCCATTATATTCTTGTGGAAAAGTGACAAATAGCAACTTTGACCCTCTCTCGCAATCGCAGACTACCCCTAAAGTTTCTACTCCAAATAATCCAGCAGAAGAAAAAAATAAATTAGAAGATTACTTGGAATTCGATGATGCTGATTTCATATTCTCTAGTTAATTTGAAAGCAAAAATTTATTTCATGTATTGTACAACCTACAGATTTCATAATCTGTGAATTTTGTAAATGTTTGTTATATTGCTAGAATAGTGAATTCATGTACAGACAGATAATTTTTTCATTATTTCCGAAAAATTGAATAAATATTATCTCATTTAAATCAAAGAAAATGATTATATTATCATTTTGCTAAATCATATAGAAAAATTAGAAATTAAAAGGAAAATATTCAATGAAGAGAGAGATATAAAAATTATTCTTAATTCGATATAAGAATTGCCTAACACATATCCACAAACTGCAATTAAAATATTTGGAGATGTATAGCATTAGAAATGCAGAGTTTATAATAATATACAAATAAAAAAAAACAGAAATCCCTTAGTAATTGAGAAATATATCAGTCAGCGGGGTTCGTTTACTTAATAATCATTGCATGTTTTAAAATTCTCCATGAATGCTTCCAAAACAGAAATGTTCTTTTGAAATTTACAAAGTAATTTGAAATCAATAACAATTTCCTAGCAAATAGCATTTGTTATGCTTAGTGAATGTCTTCAGATTCTATAGACTTTAGTAAAAATTCTGAACTTTACAAAATTTTACATTCCTATGTCGGCAGAAGAAACAGAAGAAGTTCAAACATGGCTAAAGCAAATATTAATGAAAGAAGGAGTTGAATTTGATGATCTAAAAACTGTTTTCAAGGATGGTGTTAACTTAATAAAGATGATTCATGCAATAACGGGAGAAACGATACCAATCAAAAAAGTAAATACGCGAATGTTGCAGTTTCAAAATCCCAATCTTGAGGCAGCTTTAAAATATCTTGAAGACAAAAAAATTATGGGCTTCAAAAATAGAATTACGAAAGAGGAAATATTTCAAGGAGAATTGAAGAAGATTGTTATCTTTTTGCATTTAATTACAAAGGAATTTCCATTAAATTCGGAGAATGAAAATTCAATTTCAAATAACGAACCTAAAGCAGAAGAAGCACATACCAATTCTGTAGATGAAGAAGAGGCAAGAAAGAAAGCTGAAGAAGAAGCAAGACTTAAAGCTGAAGAAGAAGCAAGACTCAAAGCTGAAGAAGAAGCTAGGAAGAAGGCTGAAGAAGAAGCAAGACTCAAAGCTGAAGAAGAAGCAAGACTTAAAGCTGAAGAAGAAGCTAGGAAGAAGGCTGAAGAAGAAGCAAGACTTAAAGCAGAAGAAGAAGCAATAAAGAAAGCCGAAGAAGAAGAAAGAAAGAAAGCTGAAGAAGAAGCAAGACTTAAAGCTGAAGAAGAAGCAAGACTTAAAGCCGAAGAAGAAGCTAGGAAGAAGGCTGAAGAAGAAGCAAGACTTAAAGCTGAAGAAGAAGCAAGACTTAAAGCTGAAGAAGAAGCAAGACTTAAAGCTGAAGAAGAAGCTAGGAAGAAGGCTGAAGAAGAAGCAAGACTTAAAGCTGAAGAAGAAGCTAGGAAGAAAGCAGAAGAAGCAATAAAGAAAGCCGAAGAAGAAGAAAGAAAGAAAGCTGAAGAAGAAGCAAGAAAGAAGGCTGAAGAAGAAGCAAGAAAGAAAGCTGAAAAAGAAGCCAGAAAGAAGAAAGCTGAAGAAGAAGCTAAAAAGAAGAAAGCTGAAGAAGAGAGAATCAAGGCAGAACAAGAAAGAAAGAAACTTGAAAATTCCAAAGAGTCCGAAGAAAAACAAGCCGAAAATAACACACAAACAACAGAACAAGTTAATACTCCTCCAACCAGTCTTAAAGATGAAACTGTCAAAGGAGCCGAGCACTCATCACATGTATCGACAGAAAAGAGAGAAATTGGTGAATTACCTGCAGTTTGTGTCGATAACGGAAATAGACAAATCAAACAGGTCTTTCCAACTCAATGCTTCCTCAAATTGCTGTCACATCATGCATTGCAAAACCACGTAATGCTTTTGGATTCCTCAAAGCGTTCGCAAGAATTTCTGATGTCCTTGTTGGAGAAAGAGCTTTCAATGCAGGAAATGATTTCGATATCTTAACTCCTTTCAGTGATGGCCACATTACATCTTTCGACGACTTAATGACACTCTACAAGGAAGTCTTCAAGAATATAAGTACAGAAGCTTTCTTAACAGAAAGAAAAAGAAGAAAATTGGCTGATATTTATTTCAACACATTGAATTCATCAGCAATTTTCACTTCTTCTGGCGGTTATTTCGCTTCCGTTGCAAGTTCCAATCCTAACTCATTAGTCATTGATATTGGAGCAAGCTCAGGCACAGTACAAGCTGTTCTTGATGGTGTTACATGCAAGAACTCTGTGAAAAGAATGAAATTCGGAGGCGGCCAAATTTCCTTAAATTTGATGAAACAAATTTTTGGAGATTCGCCAACACGAGCATCTACATATGCTATAGAAGGTATCAAGAGGAAGTACTGCTATGTTTCAACCAATTTCGATGAAGAAATCAAAACTTTTTCACAAAGTGATATTATTGATGTTGGAGATGCCGGAAAAGTATTTATCACAAGTGAAAGAATTAAGGCCCCTGAAGTTTTATTTAATCCGAAATTAATTGGCTCGGACGATGAGTCAATTATCCAAACAATCAAAAGTTCTTTGAATTCACTTTCTGAAGACGATCGAAATAAGGTTCTCCAAAATGTTGTTTTGAGTGGAGGAACGACAAACATGCCAGGATTCAAGGAACGATTGGAAAAGGAGCTCAAAGAATATCGCAATATTAGATTTTATGGTTCAGCAGATAATGAATTTGCTGCTTTCCGCGGATGCGTAACTCTAGCAATGAAAGATGAGTTTCCATGGTTATGCGTCACAAAGCAGGAATACGAAGAATTTGGAGATAACATTCTATCAAGATTTGAAATTTAATAATGACAATTAAAGAAATTGGAATTCCAAATCGAATATTTATATTACTCATGGAATAAAGGATATTTTTATTAAAAAGAGTTTCAAGCATTCGATCATAAGAAATAAAAAGAAAACGAAAAAGAATTTTCTGAAGTACCGAAAACTTAAGTTTTGATAATAAGGTATAAAAAGATTTGATTGATTATGGTGAATGGATATATCTGAACAATACCTCAAAATATTATGAAGATAATGAAATGTTAAAAACTAACCCATAGAAAAAATTGAAGTATGTAAAAATGATTAGAATTGCTAAATATATAAATAAATTAATGTTACGTTGTTGCGAAGTTTTGTGAAGGGAGATATTTGAATTAACAAAGTTTATTATTAATAGATAGTACTCCATTTATCATTTACTAAATTGTTTTCAGAAAAAGTATAGCTTGAAAATAGAATTGAAAGCAAAAATCTTTCAATATAATTTAGTATAGCTAGAGTAATATTGTAATATTATCATTATTGGGAATTTGAATAGAGCTTTTGAGAGAATAGATTTTGTGAAGAATTGAGATTCAATTGAAATTAAGTGAGAATCAAATGCCATTTACTCGGTCCAAAATACAAAAATGATACTAATGAGCTTGTTGTAGAATTCAGTTTTGATTGGAAGAATAAAACTTTTTATTTAATGATATAATTATACAATTAATAGCAAAACAATGAATATTAAAGATAAAAAATTTGGTCGTCTTAAATTGAAAGACTCTCAACTTTGTGATCCTTCAATTTATTAATCATTAAAAGATTAAATATAAATACAATAGATAATCTCAGTACTTTAAAGTAAGGATTTTTCATTAAAACAGTTAACTCTATTGCCAATTTAACAGGCTTATCAAAATCGACTGAATGTTATGTATCTACTTATACAATCATAATTTCATATAAAAAGAATCATGATTATGATTTAAATTCATTTTCTGGTGTTTTCAATTGGATAATGAAAAGTCTTTATTTTAATTTACGCCAGTAGTTATGATCACCATCACTATTACTTTTTATTATAATCACAATTTGTTAACACTTTTTTATTTCTGATTTATGTAAACTATACAAAAAATTACGTAAAGTATTTAAAATTTTCAATCCTTTTTCAAATATTTATGTAAAATTCTCAACCTATTCTTCTCAATAAAAAAAATCATATAAAAGCACCACTGAGTTCATGGCCGCTTCTCTTCCCTTCCCGATCATGAACTTACCTATTCCTAACTTTCTTGATTTTGACGATGATATTAAAGATGCTTCCCGTTTTAGGTTAATGGTGCTAGTTGAAAAGTGATTAAGTCTGATCGGGCGAGTTACTGTTGTGTGGAAGGAGCAGAACGATACGATTCGCCTCCAGGTGATGTTGATGATTGAATGTTTCGCGTGTGACTGTATTGTTCCGTTGTGCGAAGTATGGTACTAGTGATCGTGTTGCTTACTGCTGACAGGAAGCTTTAACTGATAATAGTCTCCGATGAGAAGATTGTTGTTTATTACACCGTCGGAGATGACGACACTTAATCCTTTGTCTGGGACGATTGTGTTAGTTGCACGTATGCATTTGAGATTCTACAGTTTAGAGTGTCACGAAATTGGGTCAGATATTTCACGTAGACGTGAAATAATGATTGGGGGCGAGCTATTGATCTGTCAGTTAGGTTACGTGTGGTGACAGTGGACGTGATAGCATGAGAAGAAATGTAAGTATGTGTTATAGATAGTACCGAAAGCACCATTGTATGCGCGTTATAGTGAGGTTTGTGGGACGGTGGGCCTCGATCAGCACGTGGCACTTTTACTCCACGAAGTATGGCCATCGATGCTCGAGATACTTACCCTATCCACATCGTGGCTACACCAGGCTATTATTCTATCCGGTACGCCATGATCTGGTGTTTCCCTTGGAACACTAATACAAAAGATGTACTTCCTAAGAAAATCAAGTGCAAGGAATTAAAATTTATGATAGAGCATCCAGAACATTACCTTTTTGATCACTTGTTAATTATTGATTGTCGTTTTGCATATGAACATAATGGCGGACACATAGGTAGTCAGCACACAAAAATGATTGAACAGCCCTAGCCGGTTTATTTAATCTAGCTTGAATAAATACATAAATTTCGAAACACCATTGGTGTTGTAACTTTTATAATCTTTGCGAATTTTCACAGGATCGCGGACCCAGATTTCTTAACCTATTCCGTGAATATGATAGGAAAGTCAACGAATATCCAAAACTTTCTTTACCATATATTTCCTCCTCGAAGGAGGCTATAATCGATTTTATACAGAATGCAAAGAATTGTGCCATGGTGGTTACACTGCCATGCGTGACAAAAAATTTGTATCAAGCGGTGAATTAAAGAGAAATAATCTATAAGTATTAAGTTATCCAATTCACCGCTAATCATAGATTCTCAAGCACTTCTCTAAGTGCTTTGAAGCATAGTAGACATGCAGCTAGTAATGGAGGATTCCCTGTTTCCATGGTTCCTCAAGCGATGTCTCAAGAAACAATGACATTCTTCTGAATGTATTTAATACCATTTATTGATTTTGTATTACTATTAGTTTTTATCTTTGTTTTAAGAAAATATCTTAGATTCCAATCAAAATGCTTAATTCTGGTTGAAATGTAATCAAAATTCATCCAACGTTTATATGATTACGCATAGGTTAATATACAATACTTGCAGCCATAATCCAAAAAAACATTGAGAAATTATTGGATGTTTTTGGAGCATATAAGATCTCCTAACTAATAAAAACGCGTTTTTTGAAGTAAATCTATCAACAAATGACTATTTATAATGAATACATATATTTTTGCGGTTCACTAGATTGATTTCATAACCTTCTAATTTATTTTTTTTTATTATCCGATTTTCAAAGATATAATTTTACTTTCTTGAATTTTTATCCTTTCAAAACTATTTTTTTGACGATAAAAAACCTGCAAATCATTTTAAAATTTTAAAACATAAAATGTTGTGTATAAAAATTACTCAGGCTATATCTTTAATAAAAAAATATACACTGATATTACTTAAATTTCTTTCTAGCATCCAAAGAAATAAACATTAACATCATAGTTCTTGTCATCGCAAATAAACAATTAAAGGAATGATGACACAAACGAATTCATCTGTTGTTTAGTATTTTATGCATCGCTTAATGAGACTTAAATCCAAACTCCATTTCTATAACAAATATAAATTTAATCATTAGGTCGTTATCCGCAACAACAATTTTTTTAACCACACAGTATTTCCTGTAATAATGATTCCATCAAGTGCATTTATTTAGACATAGGTTGATTATCATAAATTCATCATATTAATGGATCATATTAACAAGAATTCCATAATTGATAAAAATTTCATTGGATAAACAAGAGTTATTTATTTAGAGTGCACAACTTTTCTAACCTCATAAATTTGGTTCTTATTTTATGTTATTCAAATTAGTTATATGATTTTCCCCTATCAATAATTCTTACATTGAATTACATAACATGCCTGCAAGATTTTAGCTATATTTTATAAGGAGTTATTAGGAATGATATAATTCATTTTCTATTAGATTAGATTTAGTGATATCTGCATAAGTTTGGTGATGAATGGATAAAATCATGAAACATTATATTGATTAAAATAGACTTACAAGAGAAACGAATATTTCTAGGATTCATATAGAAATATAATGGACCCACCAACATTTGTTGAATCAAAACTTCTGATTCAATATTATCAACATTTATCAGAATGGTGCTAATCAAATCTAAGATCTGGCATGAATCCAAAAAAAAAAAAAAAAAAAAAAAAAAAAAGGTAGTGGGGCTTCCAGGGGCTGCGCCCCTTCTAGCCCCTAAGAAATTTTGCCCAAGACCCAAGAGGAGGACCGAACCCCAGCCGACCAGCCGTGACTTTTTTTGTAGAGCACTCAAAATAGTATAACTTTTGTCGGACAAGTAAGGGTCTATCGTCGCTACAGAAAAGTTACGGGCGTTCCAAGGAAGTATACTTTGAGAAGCCTTTCCCCCTTATAGAATGAGATAGGACGGTTATTTTACAAAACTGACAACACTTTGACCGAGTAGGTTTTTTTGTGCTGAACAAAAAGTGTCAATAAAACATCTGTTCAAAAAACCGTTTTTTAACTCACTTAAAATGCCACGTAAGCTACGTAAGAATATACGTAAGAGGAAGGGAGCATTGAAACATCCAATAGTAAAACTGACACCACAACAACAGTTGCAACAAACAAATGATGAATGACCCCACTATGTTGCAACAAATGTCAAGCAACCCTATGCTTTTAAAGCCGAGTTATTGGTGCACAGAGTGGAGTTTAAAGAGCGGCACTTTTAGCGAAAAATGGCAGGCTATGTGGAGCTGCACGACGGAACAGCTTATAACCCTCAAAGTCAAATGAATTTGAGTTCACTCAAAAATCAAATAACAGATGTCAAAAAGTCAAACATAGACATACAAGAAACAAATAAGTGAAAACGAAAAGAACTAGAATATGACAGACACACAAAGAAACTCAATGAGTTAAACGTAGAGAAAAAGAAAGAAAGAAAGAACAACTGAAGAACTAAGTACAGAGGAATATGCGAAAAAAAGTGTCAGAAAAAGCAGCAGAAAGTAGCAAAAAAATGGAACAAGATGTTATAAAATTTGAAAAAACCATACTACTCAATATAAAGTACTGAAAGATGAGAAATAAAATCAAAAAAGCCTGAAGACAATATATGGATAGAGATGATATAAAAAAGAAGTTGAACAAATGTAAAGGCAGAAAAACTTTTACAGTTGCAAAACAAACCGTACAGTATGAAAACTTAGCACAAAAAGTAAAAATAACGAACGCAGCCATGCAAAAGGCAATGAAAAGCGCAGAATATATAAAAGCTAAATATGACTGGTTAGTGCCCAAGCCAACGCCAAAAGGACAGCCCAACTTATTGGGTCAATAAGGACAAAATACAAGCGGTATGAAGACAGTTCAAATGAAGCTTTAATGAATGCCGACTTTTAAGACGCCTTTCGAAGCTCTTCATAGTAAGGTGAAACTAGTGAACGACTTCTCATCTGGAAATGAAACTGAAGTCTGAAGGTTTCGACAACGAGTTAAGAGAAGTAGCACAAAATTATGACGAAAATAACAGATGCAGCAACGAGACAGGCAGTTTCAAAGTGCCTATGACGCCGTTTGAGCAAACTGTTTGTGAAAGTCAAGAAAAAGAGTTACAACAGACCAAAACAGACCTAGTAAATGCGTTCTTAAGAACGAAAAGTCAGGTAGGACATTATGCTGCAGATGAACATATGTGCCAGCTGGTGGAACTTATATACCACAAACCCTCCAAGAGAAGCACCCTGCCACCAGGACTACCTAAAACATTTCCATCGTCACATGGACACAGACACAGGCATGCAAAAACCAACACAACAACCAACACACAACCAACAGTTCAAAACACTGCACCACAACCAACAGTTCAAAACACTGCACCACAACCAACAGTTGAAAACACTGCACCACAACCAACCAGTTCAAAACACTGCACCACAACCAACAGTTCAAAACACTGCACAGCAACAACCACACCAGAGCAAGGACATTAAAAAGAAGTAGAGAACAAGGAAACCAAGAATTCTTAAAATGCTTAAGGAAAATTATGGTTACCCAGATACTCTTGACTTGTAGTGAACAGATATAAAGAAGCTATTAGAAAGTTCAAGGAAGGAAATACTGACCCGAACCTAATTCTAGCTTTATGGTTCAGCAGCCAAACTGGCAACTTATAATTTTCAAACTGGAAATAACAAGCTCGCAAAGGATATGATTATTAGCATATCATCCAAATTGACATGGATGAATTTACTCCGAGATATTTGATGTCAGAGCTAAATGACAATTCAACTTTCGTCATGAAACGCGTAAAAAAATAGAGACGGAACGAAAGAACAAAAGCTTATGAATGCGGATGACGTAGATAGGGAAATTGTTGAAAACGGTCTCGGAATATATGAAATGCCAGCAGATGAGGTACAAGAAAACTCCACAGGAAGAACTAGTTCAGATACAACCAGACATGGAAGAAATAGTTTCAGCAACAACAGCTAGAAGAGCCTGAAGGAAACGAAAACAAGTCCCTCCTTTGGAAACTAACCTCACAGAACTAGATGAAGATTTGGAACAGCCGAAAAATCTTGACCCTCAACAAGAGTATGCGGAGAATATGGAATATTTCCAAGAGTCTAAAAAAAATTCGGCTGACATAGTAGAAAGAATATCGAAAATGTTTGCCGACATACAAAAGACTCCAACACAGATGAAAATATTCAGCATAGAATGGAAGCACTGAAAGAAAATGTACACAAATACAACAACCCTTTTTACTTACGAGCATTTAACGTTCAATCTTCGGATGAACTCGGTGAAAATAAAAGGTTAAATTTCAAGAAAACATATAGAAATGAAACATTGTTTAAAGTTCATTCAGAACCTAACCAAGATGGAAACAAACCTACTTTTGTTTCTGCAGACGATGGAACTACAATGAGATGGGGTCATAAAGCTAACCCGGATAGGTGGTTCATAAACTTACAACCTCAATTCCAAGAAGTTGTAGACGCAATGGAAGTCAATGGTGAACCAGATATAGCTGGTATTTTAAGCGCGGCTTTAATGCCATTGAAAGATATGAAACATGCAGATATTTTGGACCAGTATGAAATGAACATGGCTGATGGAAATATAACACCTGACGTTCTAGAACATTTATCTCAAAGAACTACACAGAACCATAAAGATGGTATATTTGGTGAAGAGTTTAGAAAGAAAGTTAGGGAGACAGAAGAAGAGAACCTATTGTACATGACCTTGCAAATGAAAGTTTGCAAAATGTCATAAAAACTTACTTTGCAGACAATGAAATGAGAAGGGATGAATATTTAAGAAAAACTCAAATGGACAGTACCAAATGAAATGTTAGTATTGAAAAACATGTTCCTTGACAAAATAAAACCAACTACAGAAATAAACGACGCAAGACTGAAAGATTGGGTATAAAGCTTTCCCATTCACAAAAGATATAGTTGGTAACATGGAAAGAAAACCAGAATGGCTACAAAAACATATATTTGGAAACGAGCATATTCCATATGGACAGGCACTGTTTGAAGAGCTTGAACCGGAAACTCAGGAAAGAGTCATGCAAACAATACGCGAAGACTCAAATACAAACTATGACAAAACTCTTTCTAGGATATAGGTTACCTGAGATGGGCGACCAGAGCCCAAAGGCAAAAAGGACATGGGAAATTTACAACATACTAGGTGAACATGAGCAAAATGCAACAACTTAAAGCAGAGGGCAAGTTACCAAAAGCGACACCAGAAGAAGAGAAGAGTAGAACAAAGGAAAGTAGTGAAGAACAAAGTGAAAGTAGTGCAATGAAGGAAAAAGAAGAGTTAAAAACTCAGTCAGGAAGAAAGTAAAGCTTGGTCCAGTGGGTTCTATTATGACATATAAATCCAACTATTCTATATTTTTACTCATATGAAATGTACGCCGCTCAGAATATAACGCCAACAGTTTTGGATGCTATGAATGGAAATGTTTCCGAATGGTATAACGAATGCGACAATGCCATTAGAAGGTCAGAAATAGTTCCTGGAACTTACGAATATACAACTGCTGTTTCTTATGGAAACGTAGGTGAGTTTGGAGAAGGTTCTTCAACAACAGTAGATATTGCTTGCGACAGGTTTCATATATTTCTATTGACAACTCTTTCTTATACGGAACAAGACATTGAAATAAAACCTTCTGCCAAGTTGTCTGACAAGAAAGGTTGCAATGGAATTTTCTATGTCGGATACCAATATGCTCCAGAAGTTTTCATGGGATATAAGATATATTCTAACTCTGACTTAGTTCAAACAGTAACATGGGCAAACTATGAATGGTTCGCTTTGAGAAACTCAGTACAACCACAAGCTAGAGAACAAACAGACCAGTATGCAACTATTGAGAAAATAAGAAGACTTGACCCTAACGTTCCAGGAGTTTATGTTAACCTTTCTGGACAACTGCAGCAGCAGTAACCAAAGTAAAACTGAAACTTAGAGTTCCTTTGTCATCTTTCCTCATCTTCAGGTTTTTAAGATACTTGCCAAACTGGGCAGGAAAAATTTCTATCGAACTTACTCCAAGCAAAAATAACTTAGTCATTGCACCAACACAAGACCCATTCACTCTTACAGAAGTAGTGGGAACAAATAAAATGTCATTCGCCGACTTTTGCAAAAACAAAGTTGACTTAGACTTTGGTTTCTCAAACCTCAACACTGAAGTAAACTATTATTTCAATGCTGCTGGAGATGCTTGGGACCCAGTTAAGTTCACATGCGAAAATTTGAATGCAAGAGAATAGAAAGCAGACTTGCAGTCTATATGTTGGACCCAGATATTTCAAATGCTTTAGCTGCCAAATATATTGCAGTTCCACTTATGTTCCCTATACACCAAATATCTGTCAAAGACTTTGCAGGTGAAGTTGGAAACCAAAGTGCTGACCCAGGTGCAAGAACAGATATTGCTTTAACAACTGCAATGAAACATGCAGATACTATGTTTGTACTGTTCAGACGAACTATAAATGACTATTCTTGTTTCTACAACCCTGGTATTAAATATCATATAAACATAGATGGCAAATATTATCCAAGAGAAGAATATTCTACAGTTGAGGATATGAGGTCATACAACTTGACATTAGATGCTATGAACTTTAACAACAACTTCACAACAACCATTAACCCTGAAATGCAAAGTTCTATTATGCCATATGTGAAAGTATGGACTCATACAGGAGGTCAAAAAACTCAATATACAAATGGAGACCGTTCAAACTTTTGGCTTGGCATTCCATTTGCTGACTCAGAAGACTTTATGGGTGGTATTTCAACTGTTGGTACAGTTCAAATACAATATACTGGTGACAGAGACGGTCCAGATGAATTGAAGCAAAGAAGTTTACAAAACCAATAGCACTTTTCACGGAAGATGCTCTTTTGAAGATTCGTTCGATGAAACCTGCTGGGCTCCTCAGATTGGCATAACGACAGCTTCCATCGAGCAGATTTTGGCAGCAGGTCAGTAAGTTGTTCTTGAACTGACTTCTCTCCGTCAAATATTGACAGTACGCCAGTTTTGACATAAATTGTATTATAAACTTACCTTTAGAAATATCGGTCAGTTTTGTTGTTATATTTTTGTCTGCTTCAAGAACTTTCACCATTTCAGTTATACCAACTTTCTTTGCTTTATGAAAATATTTTGGTTCAGCAAAGACTGCTATTCTATAACATTTTCCATTGTTTGTATAAAGAACTATTCTGTCAATGAACTTGTATTGTTTGTGTGTGTAAACTTTGTTTTGCTTCAATTCGAAGAGATACTCAAATACGTCCATCTTTTTATTCTAAGTAAAATGTCATTTCCGAAAAATAGAAGCGTAAGTGTTTCAAAAGGTTTAATGGCGATGGCAGATGTGAAGTTAAATTCACCAACTCAAACAAACAGTCAAAGTGTTGTTGTCAATGTCAAAGAAAGAGATGTTGAAGTGGGGAAACCATACGAAGACGAAGATGGTATAACAATAGTTCCTGTAAAAGAACAACCAACATACCCTGAAGTTAGCAGAGACTTAAGTTCTGTTGCAGATATTCGAAACGACTACCAACAACTTAAAGACAAACTTAAAACTCAGGAGAAGATTTGTCAAGCTTTAGGTATAATGTTAAACTTGGTCGAACACAACCCTGTAAAAGTGAACTCATATGTCATCGCACCTCATGAAGTTTTGAAAGAACTATTGAAACTTTTGACAGAGGCAGACGATATAAACATCAAAGAAATAGAACCCGACATTGCTTGCTGTGGTGTTTCATATAATGTCATTGACAAGATATACGTTATGAAAGGAGGTGAAACGTTGAACTTAAAATATAGTTTCCCAGACGTCATAAAAATATTTGACGACCACAACATTTCATTAAAATTTACTTGCTAAGTAAATGGCAGAAGACATAGTGGTTTATACTATTACGACTAAAAACCCTGAGTCATATAATTCTATAACAACAAACTTACAAAGTCCTCAAGGACGATATTGTAAACTAACCTTAAACACAATGACGACTAAAGCCTGTTTTGCTCTTTTGACACCAGAAGACTTTGTTGTTGTGAATGGTAAAAAATACTCCTTTGAAGATACTTACTCAGATATACCACCAACAGGTTTTGTTGACTTATTTAATACTTTAAGGACGGATGTAACATGTGCTGCAACTAGAGCAGGTTTCATTATGTTTGGATGTCCGACTGAGTTTAGTATAAACGATATGAGCTATAATACAAAACTTATATCTGGTTTTTACTACCAACAGTTTCCTATAACAGGAAAAGGTGTCATACAAGGAATGTCTATTCCATTGACATTAAGCACACCAATCTTATATATTGTTTCAAACTTAGGTTCAAAGTGTTATTCGAATGTCGACAGAAACTATTATGACCAAAAGATACTTATGCGTATAAACAACACTTTCTCTGCTGGTTTGCC